TGCTGAGGGTGGCTGTGGTCCCGGGCCTGGGCGTGCTGGGGCAGTGGCTGTAGTCATCACAGCAGAGCACCCGGATTTGGTAGTTGAGGCACATCTTGAAGCGGCCGCCCTGGTCCTGGTTGCGGCACACCAGGCCCACGTCCAGGTCGCACTGCACCACCTGGTCCAGCTCCTGCAGGGGGACGTCCGGCAGCCTCTCGGCCCGGCACTGCAGGGCCACCGGCCTCTCGCAGACGGACCCGCCAGCTGCGCGGATGTTGGCGTAGGTCTCAAAGTCCCCACCAGAGGCCTCAGACATCGGGTAGCTCTGGTCCAGCCAGCCTGTCCAGGTGCAGCGAGGCTGACAGCCAGTGGCCGTGGCCGCTGAGGTCGTGGGGCCGGAGGTCAGGATGGGCGTGGTCTGAGCCGTGGCTGAGGGCCCCGTGGCCGTGGAGGTGGCTGTGTAAGGGCCCGGAGTGGTGCCCAGCAGGGCGCTGGTGGTCTCGGGAGTGGGGGATGTTGCAGAGGGAGAGGAACTGGGGACAGAGAGCCTCTCGGTGGTGCTGAGGGAGGTGCGAGGAGTCTGGGTGCCGGGGACGCTCTGTGTGGTCCTGGAAGTAGAGGGTCCTGTTTCAGCTGTGGGGATGGTGACCCTCTCGGTTTTTGCAGAGGAGGGACCCGTCTCAGTGGTGGCCTTGGAAACCGTCTCAGTGGTCCCGGGGGCTGAGGGGAGTGGCGGGGTGGTAGTCGTGGTCCAGAAGCCTGTGGTGCGCGCTGTCTCTGAGCCCGTGCTGCTGAGGGTGGCTGTGGTCCCGGGCCTGGGCGTGCTGGGGCAGTGGCTGTAGTCATCACAGCAGAGCACCCGGATTTGGTAGTTGAGGCACATCTTGAAGCGGCCGCCCTGGTCCTGGTTGCGGCACACCAGGCCCACGTCCAGGTCGCACTGCACCACCTGGTCCAGCTCCTGCAGGGGGACGTCCGGCAGCCTCTCGGCCCGGCACTGCAGGGCCACCGGCCTCTCGCAGACGGACCCGCCAGCTGCGCGGATGTTGGCGTAGGTCTCAAAGTCCCCACCAGAGGCCCCGGACATGGGGTAGCTCTGGTCCAGCCAGTCTGTCCAGGTGCAGCGAGGCTGACAGCCAGTGGCCGTGGCCGCTGAGGTCGTGGGGCCGGAGGTCAGGATGGGCGTGGTCTGAGCCGTGGCTGAGGGCCCCGTGGCCGTGGAGGTGGCTGTGTAAGGGCCCGGAGTGGTGCCCAGCAGGGTGCTGGTGGTCTCGGCAATGGGGGATGCTGGAGAGGCAGAGGGACTGGGAACAGAGAGCCTCTCGGTGGTCCTTGAAGTAGAGAGTCCTGTTTCAGTTGTGGGGATGGTGATCTTGTCGGTTATCCTCGGGGAGGAGCGTTGTGTCTTGGTGGTGGCCGTTGTGGGCAGCGTCTGTGTGGACGTCACTGGCAGCGGTGTGGAGGAGGTGGGGCAGTGGCTGGCATGGTCACAGCAGAGCACACGGATGTTGTAATTGAAGCACATGCTGAACGGTCCCTTCTGGTCCTGGTTCCTGCAGACCAGTCCGGCCCGTAGGTTGCAGGTGACCACCTGCCCGATCTGGTCGAGGCTCACTTCGGGGTAGCTCTCTGCCCGGCACTCAATCTTCTGTGGCTCCTGGCACATCTTGCTGCCAGCAGCCCTGATGTTGTCGTAGGTCTCCATGTCTCCGCCTGTGACTCCCGAAGTGGGGAAGTCCACATCAAACCATTCTGTCCACTCACACTTGGGCTCACAGCCGGTAGTGCCCTGGCTGGTGGTGGCCTCAGTGGTGGCCATCGGCTTCTGGGTGCCCTGTGACGTTTCCACCCTTGGTGTGCTTGTCCTGGTGTGTGACGGGGATGGTGGGCTCATGGAGACTGTGCCAAGAGTGCCCGCCGATGCTTTAGTACTTGGGTGAGCTGTGGAGGTTTGTGTCATCTGTGACCATGGGGTGGGTTCCTGCGAGGTCCCCCCCAGGGTCCCCTGCAGGGTTGTGGACTTTGTGGAGCCTGGAGGAGATGTGGGGTTCCTTGTGGCAGACGTCATGAGTGTGTCCGTATGGCTGGGGTTGGAGGATGTTGCTGGGAGCACTGGTCCTGTTGAGAGGAAAGGCGCTGCTGTGGTGCTGCTCAGGGGGCCCTGTGTCACCCCGGGGCTACTCCCTGGCTGGGTCCATGTGCTCGTGGCTGGTGATTTTATGGTGGTGGCTGTGGCCATGGAGATGGTGGTGGAAGCGTTGGCTGTGGCGACAGTGGTGGCAGTGACAGTGGTGGTGGCGGCTGTGGCGGTGGCTGTGGAGGTGGCAGGGGTGGCGGTGGCAGTAGTGTGCTCCCCGCAGTGGTCCTGGCTGCAGCACAGCAGGCGGATTCTGTAGTTGTAGCACATCTTGAACAGGCCTATCTGTTCGTCATTCCTGCACACCAGGCCGAAGCCGGGGTCGCAGTGCACCAGCTGCCCCAGCTCCTCGGGCCTCCTGTTCGGGAAGTGTTCTGCCCGGCACTCTATGTCCCGAGGCTGCTCACACACGGAGCCCCCGGCGCTCCTGATCTTGTCGTATGACTCGATGTCCCCCCCAGCCTCCTCGGACTTGGGGTAATCCTCATCGAACCACTCGGTCCACTGACATCGGGGCTGGCAGGTGGCCGCCTGGGTCTCTGTTGTCTGTGAGGTAAAGGCCGTTGTTGCCTGGATGGTGGAGGGGGGCAGGGGCCTGGGGGTTGGCTGCTGGCTGGTGCCTGGGCTTGGGGGGGTGCTGCAGGGCACATAGTCACAGCAGAGGACCCGCAGCTCGTAGTTGTGGCAGAAGGGGGGGTCCTGCTCGCTGTTGAGGCACAGGAGCCCCCGCTGGGGGTCGCACTCCACCTTCTGGCCCAGCTGCTCCAGCGGCGTGTCTGGAAGCAGCCGCGCCCGGCACTGGATGCGGGCTGGAGCGGGGCAGACCTGGTGACCCCTCTGCCGCAGGTTTGCAAACGTCTCGAAGTCCCCACCTCCCATGCCGGGCTCTGGACGGCCGCTGTCGTACCAGTCAGACCAGCGGCACAGCTCGCGCACGCACACGGTGGACAGCGTGGGGACCGGACCTGCGGGGCGGGGCGGGACCGGTCAGCCTCCTTCGGGTCCTTATCCGCCACGCCCGGGAGGTAGGCGGACACACGGCCCCTTCCCCCAGGGTTGGTGCCCGGGTCTCTGCGGGATCCCGGTCCACCCCTTGCGCCCAGGACCGCCGCGCCGAGCGCCCGCTGGGCCTTCTCTCGCACCCAGCCCGCGGCTCCCCCCAGGGCGGCCTACCCGTCGTGGC